TACTATGAGCAAATTTGCTCTTTCCTAATAGGTGTCCGTTGTAGATTGCTCAAACAGAAACTGTCACTGGCCAAACCAACATCACATTTCAACATAGGTGTTCGCTGAATTATCGATTCGATAAATTAGGACGATTGAAGGTATCCGTGTGAGTTTCCAAATTCCCATCTTTTTATTGCCCATGAATTGGTCTTTGTAGAAGGCCATTTCAGGTACTGTGTGAAAGATGACACTGGTGCATTTCTCCACCGGATAGGAGAGATTCATACGGATGTGGCCACGGTCTTGGTTAACCGAGGCACGCTATCCCTTCCACTGTCTCCAACGGCTGCAATAGATGTCTACATCACTGTGCCTGATTTCTATGCCCATCATGTCAAGCTCAAGTTTCGAGGGAATCATCTACAAGTGCGCGAAAATTTCCCATTGGCAGCTTATATGATCCTTGTTCTGAGGATTGAGAAACGGACCATATTATTGTACAAAAGCGAGGCAGTGAAGGAAAAGAATCCAAAATGGAAAGAATTCTCTGTTCCGGTATACGTTATCCAGTTCTATACGCAAGGTGCTCTTCAAATACACGTTTATAATCAGAATACCAATGCTCCAGATACACTCATAGGTGAGTAATACCCTCTATAACCTCAGTTTTGCACTTCCGCTCTATATAGCGTTGTTTATCTCTCAAGCATTTATAGGTTTCTGCAGTACGTCGATGGCACAATTGGAAAGAGGCGTCGGAGCATTGAATTCGTATATGGTTGGCTTCATAGATTTTATGGTGGTTATAAATTTTTTCATTGATGAATAGCCGATCGTTACAGCTGATGAACTTCGAGGGTATGCGAATTCATGAGAAAATGAATGTGGAGCTGGAATCTATGGAAGTAGGGCGTGGAGAGACATTTTTCAATGCAATCAAAGAGAGGTTAGTTTTCTCCACCGTGTTTGCGTGTTTTGGTGATTGCCGAGACGTCAGGTGTGTATGAGTTAATACGCTTGTTCTTCTGATAATAGATCGCAAGGGATAGATTTCTCGGCTATGCCCTTTCACAAAAATCCAATTATTTATCTAGAAGTGGTTGTTTTAGCTTGAACTTCGAATTTTATGCCATTTCTTTCTAAGGATATGGTTTATAATACTTTTATGTAGACCTCTTTCATGCTACTTGAAGACTTACATAACCTGTTTCTTTGAAAGCGATTTTATTTCCAATTTATGCACCGGCCTCAAGTGGAAGTGTCGATTGCGAGTAATTTAAAAGGATTTTTCTTTCTTAGCACCCATCTTCACCTCACTACGGCGATAGACATGACGGCATCCAATGGCAATCCCAATCAACCTGATTCACTGCATTTCATTCATCCCCATGCTCCAAGCCCGTACGTGAATGCAATGCTTCGACTTACACCGCTGTTCCTTGGTTACATGGCTCATCCAAGAATAGGTATCAGCCAACTGAGTTTTAAGTTTTTTTTTTGTAAGCTGGCTCTGTTTTTGTTTTCCAGGTGCACTAGGATTTGGCGCACGAACGCAGCCTCATTTCGAGTTGTCACAATGCTTTGCTTTGGTGAGTTCTGTTGTCGTTCAGCTTATTTGGTTACTTCGAGCTTTTCATACCTATTTTTGCCTTTACTTGGATTTTTATTCATTATCTTGATATTCGCTTTTCGCTGAACATCTGCCACAGTGCCTGATTTGCCCCATGGGTATATTCGTTACCTTTTTCTTTTTTAATGAATAATTTTTTTTCTGATTCATTATTCTAAAATTAATTTTCTCTCTCTCTGTGATCGCCTATGCTACCACCTCTCTTACGATAATATCCTTCTACAATTACGTGTTTCTTATAGGTTTCTGGGTTTCCTTGATGTTGATGTAAGCAACCTTTTTGGTTAATTTAGGTTTAAAACAATAATTCATGCTCTGGATGTTTAGAGTGGCTCCCACAATGATCCTCATGTTGATGGGCTTAAGGGGTTGTTGGAAGCATACCGATCAGCTATGATGGCAGTTCAACCTTTTGCGCCTACAGACTTTTCTGAGGTCATTTACCATGTGTCAAAGTAAGCTTATTAAAATGTACATCTATATGTGAAGTTCAGGGTCCTTACGCTTATGGCGGGATGCAAGTTATGCCTCTATCACTCTTTGGCTAGCTATTTAGATGGTTGATTTTAATTTTAGGTTCGCAAAAGCGGAAACAAGACGTCGTCTTGGCTTATACTTTGTCTTGTTGATCCTCACCGACGGTGGTTTGACGAATCCGAAGCGTACTATCAACGCTATTGTAGACTGTTCTCTTCACCCAATGAGTATCATTGCTGTCGGAATAGGAAAGGTAGCAGTTAACAACCTCCTACGGGTTTCCTGGAAACAACCTTGCATATTTCACTTTAGGACCGGGAATTCGCGAGTGTGAAGGCTCTGGAATCGCCAGTTCTCAAGCACTCTGACGGTCGACTATTAGCTAGACAGGTTTGCTTGTTTTCCCAATTTAGACTTACCCGGTGTCCTTGAAGCAACTTTTTTTTCAAGAACTTCCAATTCGTCCCATTCGATGATCTCGATTGTGATGATGCGGTGGCACTGATACCTCTTCAAATAGCTCAATGGCGGAACATTGTCTCTGAGCAAGCATAGAGGATGTGAAGAAAGAGTAGAACTCGTGAGGAGGAAAGTAGTATTTCGTCTGTTAGCAGAAGTGCTCGTCTACATTTGGTAAAAGATGGGAGTAAGTTACTACGATATACTGAACGCCAGCTCGAAGCCAGCCAATGTAATGAATCGCATCATCGAGATATTGATCGAAGATACTCCGCTTTCACTGTATTCCATCCATAATTGTAGGATCCCAACTTCTGTTGAGACCCCATCATTTCCTCCATCCGCAACTCCCGTTGTTCTGTATTGGTGATTTCGTCTTACATCACTTTAGTATTTGTCTCGTTCCATCTGGCCTAGACATTTGTTCCGTATCGCTTTCCTTCTTATCACAATCAAATATGTTACAAGTTGTGAAGAGCATGGGTATCACTGCTCGTTTAAAACCAAAAGTCGAGCGTACAAGTAGAAGACTGTCTTTCTCGGTTTGTCGGTATGGCTGTCATCAGCATATCTATTATCTGTGGGGTAGTCATGGGGAGATGGGCCTTGCAACATTAGTGGTAAACTAAACGGCAATCCTTTTCATAACAACCTGACTTTCCCATACAAAACTGCTTTTCAGCAATCAGCTCACATTAACGATTTGCTTGCGGAAGTAGTTGGGTGCAAGTGATACACTCATAGCATTTGCAGAAATTGATGATGTCGGGAAACCAGTTCTGTTAATCAGAACGCCGCTTTGATGGTGTGTGTGTTCGTCACCCCATCGTCTCAAACGTTGCCAATTATTCGTGGGTAGGGAAAAAGTTGGTAGATAGGATCTCCGGGCAAATTAAATAGGTAGCTACCAGAAGGTACAATGTTCTGAGATTTTCTTCTATCCGTTTTAGCTGGCAGTGCTGGTGAAGTTTTAATGCCACCTTAAAATTACCCTCTTTCCACCTTTTTGACTTTGGTTTACGCTATGGGAAGGATTTTAAATTTATCGAACCTTTCAAAAAACCAAAGGATTCTCATGCTCAAGATTTCAAAAGCAGCTCATAGCGATCCTTCCTTCGGGAGCGATGCCACTTTTTTCTGATGAGCAAAATTACCCCGTTCAATTCATTTGGATTTCATAAAACTTCTCGCACAAGCATTTTCATACGTCTAAACATCTTACTGTAGAATTCAAGTTAACTCCCCGGTGTACTTCCTTTGCAGGTCGGTAGATTTTCTATCTTTGTTGTCTTTTCTTTTGTCTCATTTAGTTTTAAATTTTCATGGAGCTAACAAGGAACGATGTTGTCTTGTTTTACTTTTTTATTCGTATTAGAAACCCGATTTTCTTGGAACTTTGGAACTATGACCGTCGATGATGAAGTTAATTTGAGACCTAGAGGTCTCCTTTTATTTTGGTGAAATGTACCCTTCGGTGATTTTCTGGTGTAGTGTCAAGCTCTCCAATTTTTAGGATGGCTGAATTTTTGTTTTTTTTTTNTTTTTTTTATTAAACAGCATTGTTTTATTTCTTTAAATCTCTTTAGCATTTTTGACGGGTCTTTGTGGAGAGTTTTAGTTTGTATTAGTAATAATAGAACTGCATAGTTGAAGGTAGTGTCATATGTGTGGTCAAAATGAAGGGTGCTAATCGATTAATGTTTTTTTTTATTTGAAATTTATTATTAGTAGTAAAGACTGTTTCGTTGGTGTTTGTGTTGTGATTGGCATTATTGATGGACCTGATCAGGTACTATTTCAATAATTTGTTTATAAAAACATTTGAGCTAAAGTGACGCTGCTGATGAAAAATTGCGACAAAATTTATAAAAATTAATAGATATATAGTGCGTTACTATTATTATATTCATCATGTGCCTTTTGGAGATGTCGAAGGCGCTGCTATCGACGTCTTCGTATGACTTCTTGTCCTAATCGTGGGATTGTTTTATGAGCCATTGAACCGATTAGGGATGTTTCACTAGTACCTCTGAAACTTGGGGAATTTTCGGTCGAGTATCGAGTTTTAGTGGTCGCTACCTCAGAAGTGGAACTATAGGTAGAATCTTACCCCATTAAGGCGCTGCCTACGGTATGTGGTAGTCGGCCATAGGTGTGCCTTCCAACTGGTTGTAACGTTTCCGGTCTAGTGAAAATTGCCGCTAACGATCGTTGATACATATCGATTAATGCGCAAGCCTTAATGGTTATCGATTTTTGAAAGGCTAATTCATTGGGACCTCAAGAAATTAGGAATGAAAGTTATGCTTTCCGTCAAGGCTGCCGAATGCGCCATGCAATCGGTTCTTATCGGCACTCGTCGAGACAAGTGGGTGCTTTCAAAGTCTGATGTCTTTGGGCGTTGGTCATTCCCGTCTGGAGAGTGCGCCCCGCATTCGACCTCCATTCAGAATCGCAGTAGCTTATTGGATACGTATATGGCCTGTACAGTGGCTTGGGGTGGTTGGCCGAGGTGCAAGTCAGTGCTTCTATCTACCCCGACGACGTCTGTTTAACCAACCCCGGAGGGATGGAGAGCTTGGTTGTTCTGAGGTTAGCGGTTCCTTACAAATTTTCTATGATACACTTAGCCTCTCTTGTACATCCACGAGGAGGATCCCTGACTTGATCTCATTCGGTCCCTATGAAATCCATGCTACAACTCATTACGAAGTATTCTGAAGGATGAGCCAAACAACTGGGCGTACTTACTTCGAAATCGTCATCATCGAGACCAAATGGGTTCAGAATGACTTGGGCACATTTAAGCCAACCCAAATAAAAAGTATTCAAAAGTAGACTGAATCCGAAGCGTGTTAATGTAGTCATGATACTCCAGCCGTGGTTGTTTCTATAAATAGCAATACGAAAGACTGTCTAGGACAAAAACATGATTGATTAAAACTGTGAATATAGGAAAATATCAAAAGTAACAGATCGATAGAGGTATTGAACCATACGGGCACCATATCCGGTGGTTGTGGGTGGCGGCTTGATCTTATAGATCCCTATGTAGGAGCACGGTACTGCTTCCATCCCTAGCAATCAGTTTTGCATAGCTACGTATAATGACCAAACATAGACCCAAACAGGGAGTGGTTACTGTAGGCCCTAATGCAAACAACTCGTAAACAAGTACAGTTCAATGGCAGACTATTGTTTACGCTGACGTGAGGGGAAATAAGCTTTTTCACTCACTGACAGAGCGGATAGTCTTGAAGTATTCCATCAACAATAAGATAAGAATAAACAGCAAATGTTATTGTCTGAAAAAAGTAATTGCGATGGTCTTCTCTTCCTTGGCTTGAAAGGCTTCTGAATGTGCCAAAGACTCTGAAGCCCTCTGAGACCAATGCTATTCGCCCTAAGAAGGCCNCCATATAATTCCATCTCTCTGAAGCTTTTTTTGCCCAAAAAGATCGTTTGTGGTGCGCAATCCCAAGCGTTTTCTATCATAAAGTCTTTACTTACCTGGGTATTTGCAAGAGGCATCGGTATCCAATCGTAGGAAAGAATATCGCCAAGTATGCCACGAACCCGACTGATCTGTAACGATTGAGAGATCCTTTCGACCAGAATCACTATTGGAAATGTATTACCTCGTTTATAAATTTGCCAAAGTGTGCTTCTTCCATGATAGTTGCTCTTCGTGAAGGTGCCGAGCGTCCAGGTCAAAAAAAAGACGATTGGAGAATTAGAAATATTCTAGTCAAATGGTAGTATTTAGAAAATTAAGAGAGTTGTTTACTCCGACAAGCAGCTTAGGCTGCTAGCGAACTGAAGTACAGGGCGGGACTGGCTGGTCAACTTAAGCTCCTCATTGGTCAGCCGCAGATATCGGCCTCATGCCAGCTCCGCCCATCTGTGGGGAGCTGAGCGGGGTATTACTTTCGAGGGAGGGTGGAATACTAGCATGTTTCTTATCACACAGTAACTTCATTGGTTGGTATGCGTCATGTACTCCCCGTAGACCTACAGAGGCAATACTATGTCTGCCCATATGGTTTGGTATACCCAATAATTTATGGGTAGCTGAATTTGAGGGCAAGGCCGATAGCTCATGGACTTTTAATGGAATCGAAACTAGTATTAGACACTTGTAGTATTTCTTCACGAGTTGACAAATCCATAAAAGTGGCATCCAATAACGACAGTAATTCGGATCAATATTACTGGATTCCATCAATTCCAACTCCTCCCTGGAAGCAGCCCGGTGAAAAGAAAAGGAAAAGGGAATTGAAATATAGAGAAAACCCACTTTGTGAGTAATTTTCCTTGAATTAGATGTTGATATGTGGGAAATTGCTTTTTTATAGGAATTGAAACATCTCGTAGTAAAAGAATATAAGTCAATAGAAGATATCTATAGACCGAATGACGTATAATTCGAGCTTCCTCTGGGGCTACCTGAAAGTCAGCCTTCATGAACCATCGTGCCAACCCGCCTCACTATTACTAGAGTGCTACATGTGGTTCTGCTTAGAAAGGCAGATTACCCATGTCATTTCCGGAGTAAAATAGGAAGATGAAGCTAGTGGAAATACGTATTTCCACAGAGAAATCCATCTTCAAAGCTAGCCTACTCACAGCCTCATCACGAAACCATGAGTTGAACATTAGAGCCACATTCTCGGGCCATACAAGCAGGTTGTAGACGTCCATCCATCGTTGAACACATGTCAGTGCTGTGAATCCCAATATTACAGTCAAAGTGCTCTGTAAAAAATCACTCAGTAAGTTGTCAAAGACACTAATGTTAATTATTATAATGTGATTTACAAATGCGACGTAAAGCAAGGGTGATCTAGTGGCATGGTGCACTACCGCACACCCATGGTCACGGGGTCGAATCCCAGATCCACCTAGACTAACGTAGCCTTCCCACCCTCCGTCGATTAAATGGTACCAGACTCGTCTGGGAGGATAGTAGACTGACTTGCACATCAGCTGCCCATCGCAAGTCCCTGTATAGGCCACCTACGCATTCAATGCTACGGTTCTCTTTGGAAGTCAAATGGAGGGCGCATTCCTCAGATGGAATTGGTCAACGGCAAAGGACTCTAGCTCTATCATTCAGTGTAAAATTACCTTGAAAGGTAGCTGGTCCATATGTTCCAAGACATTACAGTACTCGCTTTCCGCGTACTCATTTCTCTGGAATGTTTGAGATTTCTTCAATAATATATTCATTGTGTCATTAGGTTCATTCAAGGCTATTTGACTCAATTTTTCCTTGAAGACAAAGCAAACACAATAGTTAGGCCATCCAAATAAAATCCGCCTTCGATATAGAGCAGTAAGTATCTATTTGTGTTCGATTGTCTGTCGGTCTGCCGACTTGTCTGTCTGTCTGGTATCCCACAAAACTAGAAATCTGTCTGTCTGACATCCCACAAAACTATGAACCTACAGTTCGACACTGTGTTGCTAATCGATACCTATGGTCCGTAACGATCTTCTCTCTCTCATAAGTTACTACAAGCTGTATGAATTGGAAACATAATGGCGTGACCCCTTCGTGGGAATCAAATGCTTAAGGAGACCTCAGAAAGTCCTATTCTCTTCTGACCTGAGGTCAGTGTTGACAGCCAATTTTCCGCGTGTGTGGAAACTTTGGGACAACTCAACAGTGAAGGAATATAATCTCCTGACTACATTGTTTGAACAACTCGCTGAGCTACCTTGCTCTTGAGTTCAAGCTCGCTCGAACGACAATGCCTTTCGAGCGGAAGATCTTTGAGTGGCTTCATGATTTTCCAACTTACTCTTGGAGTCTGATTTTCCTGTTAGTCAACTCGCGTTTCGTCTCTAGCTCCATAACACAATAGCCTACATATTTTTCATCG